TCTCGCAAAAGGTTATTGATCTTCACATCTAGAAAGGAAAGTTTTTAAAGTCCAAAAAGCTTTAAAAGTCTATTCACCCCCCCCCCCCCCCCCCCCCCCCTCAGACTTTTACCTCTATAAGGGACCATCACTAAGTATGGTAACCAAGAAAACCACTAAGTCAAAACCAAGGGAAAAGGTTTCAACATGTCACCCAAGCAGGATACCCTAGTATTATCTTGCGATAACGCCCAGGTGAGAGGATAAGGCTAGGGGACTGACTGGGTCACTCCAATCCAAGGTTGGATGCATCCCGAGCAGGGCGTGCCGAACCAAAAGAATTTCTAAGTCAAGGACACATTGATCGGGGAGAGTAGAGCCAAAAAATCAACTAAGTACTCAGGCACATAAGTAGAAAGAAAACAAGAGACAGTCAATTGAGGCAAAATTTCCTTGTATTCATCGGCTCTACCGGTCGGAAAAGTACAGATGCCCTGAGCGGAAAATTCAAAAAAATAAATACAAGGAGATGATGAATCTATCCTACTGAGCGGGAGCATCCTCCTCATCTCCATCATCTTCATCATCACCTTCCTCTTCACCTTCACTTCCTGCTGCATCGTCCCCTAAATCAGTCATGGGCTCGGGATCCCGACCAGCTGCCCGAGCACCCTCCCGCTTCTGATCACGACCATACTTCTTGAGCTGAGTGGTCAGGGCCCGAAGATGACGCGCAGGGAGATGTGGTAGGTCAGAGGGCTCCACCGAGCGGCCTAAGATCGGATGGAGAACAGGTAGGACGGCATGCAGCATGTGTTGGTAGCCAACAACATAGACCTCCCGGACAAAGGACTCCGCCCAACCCTTGGAAACCCGATCTTGGTCAAGGACCCGAACCCCTTCCCGACAACGAACAACGCCTTGTCGGAACTTCTCCAGGTGCCTCCTGAACATTGCAGGGAGCTGTTCGGAGGCGTATTGCTCCTTGATGGCAGCAAACTCCTCGGAGGACTTGAGAGAATCCCGGACGGCGGACAGATCCACATTCACCTCAGGGGGATCGTCCGGGATCTGGGAGGGCCCCTCCAAGAACTTAACCTGAGCAGCCTCAACAGCTGCAACTTGTGCCTGGAGGGAGGCCACCCTAACGTGAAGCTCCCCGAGCTCGCCCTCCAGCCTCTTCTGCTCCTTAGAAAAGGCATGTCGTTCGGCCTAAGCTGCCTGAACGAGGGACGAAGAAGCATGTTCGGCATTCTCCTTCGCCATGATGAGCTCCCGCTCCTTGGCCAACCGGGCCTCCCAGAGCTGAAGACTATAGAGCCCCATCTACACAGTATTCAGAGGATAAATGAGGGTTGGATAAATTCTAGAATGTGTCACAAAAAATCGAGAAATAATGAACGTGTCACAACGAATTAGTACCTTAAGGGCGGTCAGGGCTACGCACTCCTCAGCCCGCTCGACCGGGAGATTGGGGAGAGGATAGTTATTGAAAAAGGCAGCCGTTCTCCAGACCTGAGTGGTCGAAGAACCACCTCTCTCCAGGATCTCATGAACGGGATCCTCTAGGTGGATCCGTTCGAGCTGCCTAGTCAGATCAGCCTGCTAGGCGGCGACTTCCCGAGCGTCGAAATGATGGGGCTGCTGGTCAGTGAACAGACCATCTATCAGCATATCGGCGTGAGAAGGTTGCTGATCAGGAGCAACCTCCTGGATGGGTTGCACCTCCTGAGAAGGCTGGGATGTCTCCACAACCTTCGGAGCAGCCTTAGTGGCACCGGCCTTGTCCGCTTTCTTCGCCCTCTTCCTTTTCTTGGGGACAGGTTCAGTGCGCCCACCAACATCCAACAGTCTAGTGTTATCCATAGCCGGCTCAGGGTCTACTTCTGGATTGGGAACTGAAAAATACAAAGAACAAAATTAGTACCGAGCGGGTCGAACGTGTGTAAAACAAAGAAGTAAGTGTTCCCTGCACAGGAAGGACCGCCCGGGCCATGGCACTTGGTTTTCAAGACAAGTAAATCCAGGGAGTCGGGCAGTACCTATCCCGGCTTTGGCGAGCTGCTCCTCGGACAGATAGGCCATAATATTGTAGACCCTCCCCTGCTCAAGCGCAACTAGATCCCCGGCCCTTTCTTCAAAGATGAATGGCTCGGGGGACTTCTTGGGAAAAGGGTTCCGCTTCCGCGGGATTAACCCGTCCGGGACGGAGACAAAGAAAAACTGTTCCTTCCATCCCTTGATGGAGGAAGGGAAGTCGGAGAATAAGAGATGACCCGTTCGGGCACTGGCCACCAGGAACCCTTCAGCTTGCTGGGGGATGACGGTGTAGAAGTAGTGGAAAAGATCTAGGGTGGGGGTCGCCCCAACGTCCACGCAACGACAAATAAAGTCGGCCATAGCCCGATAGGAATTCGGCATTATTTGGGCCGGTGCTACTTCATAATAGTTTAAAAGAGTAACAAAAAATGGGTGAAGTGGGAACCTAAGCCCAGCTTTCACCGAATCGAAATGGACCACCACCATGCCCGGAAGGTGGCGCATGGGGTGAAGCCCATATTGGAGGCGGAAATCTACTGGGTCTGGAATCAAAACCGTATTTAGGGCTCTATTGGGGCTTGTTAGTTTCTGCCCCTTTAACCTAATGAGACTCAAGTCTACTCTATGTCGCGGCACATCCCCGGGAGGACTGACCTCCATGATTTCGAGCTCATCTTCGGATTTGGTGCCGTCTGAGTAAGCACTGGAGGAAGAAGTGTCATCGCCGGAATCATCGCCGGAAACTGCCGCATCAACATGGTCTTCCCTCACAACTGTCTCTGGAACCCCCTGTTGAGGAGCCCCCTCAGAAGACGGTGAAGCAGCCGGACGAGAGCGAGGAGCCATCTGATCGGACAGAAAGAATAAGAAGAAGAAGGGAGGCATGAAAGCTACCTGAGCAAGAAAGCTTGAGGAAGATGTAGAGAGAAGGCACAGCAATGGGCCGAAGATTCAAGATTTCGAAACCCAGATTCAAAACCGGAGAAACCTATTTATAGCCTGAAGCGTCGAGTCGTTGGCCAACCAGGTGAAGACACGTCGCCAGTAATGATGACAAATACACGTGTCACGCGGAGGATAATTCCCAAGTAATCATGATGGTTATCGGGAAACTAAAACGGCAGCCACACAAAACCTTCAGGAGATTGCCTGGGGAACCAGCGAGATCCCGAACGTCACTTACCTGAACGACGTTCGGGTATGATTTCTTCTACTTCCTTATGCACTCACTACCATTCGAGACAAAGGAAGTGGGGGACTTGTATTGGGATATTGGGTCCAGGCCCAATATACCCGGCCCAAAGTATGAAGAAGCCGAGAGGAAGCATAAGGCCCAAAGCGACCCAGAACACCCCGAACGTGATACCTGCCCGGCGTTCGGCATAACTCATACACTTGGGAGCGTCTCACAAGCACTACCAGCTAAACACTGTCTTAAGGGAGTTCGGCACCCCGAACGAGAGATCAACAAGTGGCAGCCGCATTTAATGCTGAAGTATGGCGGGAACAAGTGGGAGATGGCGGCAAAGGCAACAGCTAACGGGATTGCTCCACGTGTCCATCTCAACTACCCCCTCTTAGTATAAATAGTTGCATTTAATACATTATAAAGGGTTAGAATTTGAATACTCAGAACTTAGAAAGAGAGTTGTCATTATTCTTGTCTTGTATTAGTTGTTACTCCGACTCATCATTCGGGCAGTTTTCGTGTAATCGCAGAATTATGTAATACAAGTTTAAGCTCTTGAGTTCATCATCTTCACTGCTTTATATTTCTTTCCCCTTCTAACCGTACCCCACGTCCTTAATATCCATTATCCAAAGCGTGTGTTGAGCTTTTGGATCTTCAGGACTTAACCTCAACAAGTAGTTTCAGAACATTTTTATTTTACATTTCATAATTATTTTATAAATTTATCTTATAGGTTCAATTGGCATTTTTATTACAACGTGTTTTGAAATTTTTATTTTTACGTTAAATTTTTCTTTACTTTCTTAATTAACTCTGTTTTTAAGACTGATATTTTATTTCCAATTATTTATATTCTTTTGATGTATATATACGGAGTATATATGTTTACATTTTATTCTATTTTTTTAAAGAAAATAATTACTAGAATTTTATGAGCTCAACAATTAGCCCAGTTGGAATAGAGATACGCAGTTTCTCAATTAGGGAGCAAAGTTACGGAACTTGCGACTTCCGGAAGAGCGCACACTGAAGCATGGTATATTTATAAAAGAAAACGCTTAAGCAGACTAATTTTGAAAAAAACTTTAGATGGTGACAAAAGTGATATAATTTTCACTTTTATGCCTATTTGAGAAAATTTCCCTTTTACTTTTCTAATTGCAATTTGCAAGGCCAACATGAAGTTGATAAAATTGAAAGAGAAGAAATAGATAGTTGGATTTTCTAAGCTCATCATATTTTTTCATTGTTCGACAATTTAATCCTACACTTTTGTTTGTTGCACACTTGCACTGGAAAATAAGGTTTCGAACAGCATCAAGATGGGTGCATATAGTGATGGACGGCACTGTTTGGAACCGGCCTGACCCAGTGGCCCGACCAGTGATCAGTCCGGGGAGGCCCAGTCCAGGGGTTACAAAGGGTGGGCCCGAGTCAACCAAAATAGGAAACGGCCAAGCCGGGCCATGCCCGGTTTGGCCATATTTTTTCAATTTTTTTTGTTTTCCCTGGGGTGGGCTGGGTGTTTGGGGGGTTGGGGGTGGGAGTGTCGGTGGTTAAATAGAAAAGCAAAAAAAGGAACCAGCCCTGCCCAGAACCGGTGGAGAACCAGCCCGGACCCAATGAATAATCGGGCCAGTTCTGGGCCTCAACTTTCCCCAAAAAAATCCGGTCAGACCCTGCCCATGCCTAGGTGCATAAGGAGCAACCCCATGTTTTTTTGTCACATGTTTCATGTTTGCCCTTTTTAGTTTTAATTTAATAATAATACGAGAAAATACTTTGCTGATAAAAATATACATAAATGATAAATTTAACTCCACTTCATTTATGGTATTCACCACCACACGATATCCCAATTCTCTGGATCACCCCATGAGCTCATGTATTGTATAAATATGATCAAAATGAAAAACAAAGCAGAAAGTATCAACAACCCAAGTACCCCAAGGGAGCAAAATCAAGACATGAGAAAACACAAACGCGAAATAGGTTTAACACTACCATACATCTAATAAACACAGTTTTAATAACCGCCAATAAATTCACAGCTTGATGGGCATGCACATGTTCTTAATTAGTTTTTACAAGTCCATCTCCCTCTCCATCACCATCGTCATCTGCATCCCCATCCTTGGCCTCATCTTCATCATCATCATCATCATCATCATCATCATCATCATCATCATCATCATCATCATCGCCTTTCATTCCTTTCCCCAAAGAGTAACAAATTAATTACAGTTAAGTAATTGCCCAAATGTAGCCAAGCAACGATTTAAAAAAATCACCCATAGATTGCTGCACTTAATAGACCAGAGTGTTGGTATCAACTATCAAGCCATTCAGGAAACCCAGCACCACAATACATCATGTATAAAAACGAAGAAGAATCATTTGTCTCAGCTATTCAGCCATATCTATTGCACATTTGATTCAGAAATGAAAAAAATAGTCCATAAAAACATAAGAGAACCAGGGCGGCCTGTGTAGTGATAGTATTTTGGACATTGGCATTAAGAGATGGACTTTACTAGCTGACTGAATACGAGGATACCGGAGTTGAAATTGCTCCCATTGTCAAACTTGAAGAACTCATCCTTTTAGATAGGTATGCTAGTATTTGTTTGAATTCAAAGTGATTTAAACGGAGATTGATGGATTTCTCAAAGGGCTGACTGATAAAGATTGAGAATGATGGGTTGAGAAATGAATGAGGAGAGAGATGAGGCTATGGTGGGTGGAATAGGTGGGTGAAGGGTAAAACTGTATATTTCTTTTCATGTGTTAGCCTAAATTTGAAAGTGACAAGTTTTTTTACACAAATAAAAGAGGAAATTCAGCCAAGTTTTCCCGGATGGAGAGAGTATGGCATACACTTGTATATTTCGAATTTCACATTGAAAATTTCTAGTATCTTTTTATTGGTAACTGAAGAGTTAAGCCCGCTAATTCGAAAAGAGGAGTCAATTGGCAGATTAAAACTTAAAAGGTGTGGCCGTTGCAAGAATGACCCTGCGAGGCTGGAAGATACTTTGGTTGTCAAAGAGATATTAGGGCACTATCAGGATTGTTCAGGGCAGCTGGGCAGGTAATAAATTTTGATAAATCAAGAGTTTTTTCAGTGCTAATGTTAACACTAATTTACAAGAGGAGTTATGCTCGGTTATGGCAGTGAACCAGGAAGTAAGCACAGGCAAGCACTTTGGTTTACCGGCTCTTGCATATCCTGGCAATGCCTGAATAACTGCCTTTAATATAATTTCTCTCCCAGCCCGATATAAAAAACGATTGCTCCAGTTATGTAATCGCTTTAGGACCCTCTCTTTAATGTAGTTTAGAATCTCCTTTTTATTTCTACCTATGAATGTACTTTTACTACCACATGATTTAATTTTGGAGATTGAGAGACTGATGAATGGTTACTGGTGGAAGGGCAGTGAATTTACTGGCAAAGGGATTAGGTGGAAAAGGTGGAGAGACTTATTCCAAAAGCTCAAGGCGGGTTGGGTTTTTAACATTTAAAAGACTTCAAGTTATGCTCGGTAAAAAAGGTTGGAAGCTACTAACTGATCCAAACTCTCAGGTTAAGAGAGTTTAAAAAGCTAAATACTACTACCCCCATAAATCGTTTGCTGAAGCTAAGCTAGGGTATAACCCTCTTTCAATAGACGAAGCATTCTAGCTTCCCAGGAAGTTATTATTGCAGGTTCCAGACGTAGAGTGGGCAACGGCAGAGAGATCTCTGTAGGGTCAGGGAGAGTCCAGTCTGCCCAGTCAGAAGGCATTTTAGATATGAACATGGCAGCCCTTTTACGTGAGGATGGAAAGTCATGCAATCTGTCACGAGGTGAAGCCATTTTTTCAAAGGAGGAAGATATGGCAATTCAAAATAATCCACCAAGTCTACAACATATTGAAGACAGGTATAGATGGAATGATGATCCGAGAGGTAAGTTTTCGGTCAGGAGCTGCTATAGGAGGTGAATTCCACCGGAAACCTGCTTGGAATTTTCATCTACCTCCTAAAGTCAAACTATTTTTTTGGCAATTTGCAGCAGGTGCTGCCCACGGCTGATATTTCTGAAGGTTAGGCGTGTTCCAGTTTCAGGCCACTGTCCCGTGTGTAAAGTGGAGGAAGAGTCCTCTTTTCACTTGATTTTACATTTGAGCACACTGTTTGGCACGAAGCGGGGTTGCTACTGTGATTGCAGGGAAGAGTATAGCAGGCTGTTTACAGAAGGTTTTCAAAGCCTTGGATGAGGAAAACATATACAGGTTTGTTGTGATTTTATGGAGCATCTGAAAGTCCCGCCATGGGAATGTATGGAAAGGGGAGGCCTTTTCAACCAGAAGTGTTTTGAGTGCAGAGGCTATTACTCTAGCAAGTTGGAGAACTGTCCAGGAGGCGGGCAGAAAGCAAGGGAGCGGCTGCACAAACCAAGGAGGCTCAAGGTGGGAGAAGCCGGAAGCGGGATGGGTCAAGATCAATGTAGACATGGCGAATAACGCACGCACCAGAAATTGGGATCGGGGTTGGGAGAGATAGTAGCGGATGTTTTCTCGGGGCACGTAGCCAGGTGGCTAAGACAGACTAGGATCCCGTGGATGCAGAGGTGATTGAAGTTAGGGAAGCTATATTGTGGGTGAGAGAAGTTGGATGGGATAAAATAGTGGTTGAAGCAGATGCGGCATTGGTCTTGTCAGGTATACAAGGGGATGCTTGTGATGCACAAATTGGAGTCATTTATGAGGATATCAAATATTTTAATTAAATTCTACTCCCTTCGTCCCGAAAAGGTTGGTCAAAGTTGACTTTCACGTGGATTAATAAAGTAAAAAATGTGTGTTTGAGAGAATTAATTTTATCCACATATTCCTTACTTTAAATGGAAATGGCAAATCATTTTGGAACATCCAAAAAAGGAAACTTGGCCAACCTTTTTTAGACGGAGGGAGTATAATGTTAAAGTCCAGTGGTGTAGGCGACTAGCGAAACAAGTGGCTCAAGCAATTGCTGGAGCGATTGTTTCTATGTCCGATAGCGAGGCTGATTTTTCTATTTCTCCGAACTTTATTGTAAGCTAATTGGCCAATGATCTTTTTAAATAATTTGGCATACTTGCTTTAAAAAAACGATTTCCATCACTTCATTACACTATTGTTTCGATAAAAACGCTTCAAATATGCAATTTCCAACCTGGGCACACAGGCATATATATATATATATATATATATATATATATATATATATATATATATATATATATATATATATATATATATATATATATATATATATATATATATATATATATATTTTTTCATATTACTTTATTGAATTCCTTTATTTAAGGGTACCTGGTTCGGGTTCTGGCCTCACAAAGAAAACTCTGGTACGGGCTATGTCTCCAGCCCAGAACATATGGCACACCTTTGTTTGATAGTTTCTGCGATGCCCAGTGTCAAGTTCTTCACCCAAAAAAGTTATGTAGTACATGGTCGTGCTTCTATTAGCCTTTACAATTTTAACTAATTCCAACTTTGACTTCTGCATTATAGTCCATATGAAAAAAGATCTGTCAAATAGATTGCGAATATGTAGGGTAACAAAAGGCAACTAAAGTCAAATAAACAAACCGGATTAAGATGATTGTATCTCCTAATGGCGAGGTGTGTGGCCTGTTTAACAAGTTGGTTAATTCCGGGATTTACATCAAAATGCACAGGATAAATACCAAAGTACCCGGGAAAACCGAAAGGAGGAATAAGGTCCAGATTCACATCAAACCCCTGAATGAATAATTAGATAGACAGGCTCTATTAGATGAGCAAATACAATTAGCGTTATCCAATTTCAATACTTCTTTAAATAACATAGATAGATTTATTTACTTGATGCTCTTCGACATACGTCATGTACTTATCGAAAGCCTCTTCTCTGTCGATTTTCCATTTAGAACTGTGGTTTTCGGAATCGCTCTTACTTCCTACGTCATCTCCGTCTTCCTCTTCAATTTTTGGCTTCTTAGGAGAAGGCGGATCGACTTTATCATCGTCGGAGAATGAACATGTTATACGTGGATCAATATCTGCAAGCTCCTTCTCCAGGTGCTCAACCCGTAAATGCCGATCAACTCGCATTATCTGCATAGAAACAAAATACGAGGTCGGAACATACAAAGAAACAATCACTGCACAAAACCGAATTACAGATGCTTCGTATCCGAATTACAGATGCTTCGTATATTGCTGAACTCCCGACAGATCGGATCGAATTGTGGGAAGAAACTGAGGAGATGCGCAAGATGTTAGTTTCGATATAGATGCACCATGTTTTAGGGCTTTTAAACGAAGCAAGAATGCATGTTTGGGCCAGGTATATTCAATTATGTAAAGGCTGTAAAATGAGGCCATATCTGATCCTCACTCTGCACTTACGAAAGCCCAATTTATTTATCAAAATAAATAATGGGAAAACAATTAAAATATCCCAAATTTTTAAGAGGTGTGAGATAGACATCCTAAACTTTTATATGTAATTTAAATATCCAAAACTTTATATAAAAAGTTATTTTAAACATCATGATCATGCATTATTTCTTTCAAAAATTTAAATTTATGATGTTAATTGCATAATTTAAAATAACAAACTAAAAACGTTGTAGCTATATAGATTGGGGGTGATATTAGTTATTTCACAATGGAAGTTAAGAATGTTAATTGTGTTTTTATGAAGTCTAAAATATTTAAAATTATGCAAATAACACATAAATTTACATTATTGGAAGAAATAATACTTGATTGTGGTGCTAAAATAACGTTTTATATAAAATTTGGGATATTTAAATTACATAAATAAGTTTGAGGTGAGATTTGGGGTGTTTATCTCACACCCCTTACAAATATGCAGAAGAATGAATTAATATCACTATTCACTGATGGTCCCTGGTGGATTATTAGGATCCAAGTATGTATAAAATGTAGAGATTTGAGCTCAAGTATTGTGGAGAAGATGAATAATAGAATGATAATGAATTGAGATCTAGGGTTTACAAGCTCCAAAAGGAGTATATATAGAGGAATAACGGGCCGGGCCGCTAATATGGGCCCGATAGCCCAACTACATAAAAGACTAATCTAGTATACAAATGACATATAAGCACTACAATAATACAAATGATATCCGTAAGATGTGTGTGGGCCGCTGTCCGGGCCCAATAGTCGTGAGACCCGGGGGTCCGAGTCTATATACTCTATCAGGAGTCCCCCACTCTCTGAGTCGAGAGTATTCGAGGCGAAAGAGAGTAGAACTGTGTGCTGATCTGTCGCCGTCTGGTGAGTAAACTTCATGAACAAAAATTTGAAATTCTGCTTCTTTGGTTAACGGAGGCGCTAAGTCCCCCGCTCTCCCAGTCCCCCACTCCTTGAGGCGAGTGCAATGAGGTGAAGAGGAGTAGAGTAATGCGTGTCGGATGATGTCTTCAACAGGGGGCCGAGGGTTGACACCTTTTGATCCACGATGGGGAGATGCCTCGTTAAAAACCTCATTAGGAAAAACCCTGTGGGAAAAAATCCTAATGAGGGAAAAAGAGTACACCGGATGCCCCCAAAATGAAACAAAAGGTGTGAGCCCTTCGGCCTGGAGATGGAGCTGCAGCGGTGCCCGTCTGCTGGATGGTCGAGGCCGATCTCCAGATGTGGGTAGCTCATCATGATCAGTAGTCCTAGTCATCAAATAAAGATGACTAAGGGATGGGTCAAGCGACCGTCCACAATATGATGTCTGATTCATCAAATAAAGATGACCGGAACGTAAGGCCGATGGGCCGAGAGGCCTGTACGAGAGCTCCACGTCGTCAAATAAAGACGACGGGGCGATGGTGTGGCCAAGGGGCCTGCATAAGAGCTCCACGTCGTCAAATAAAGACGACGGGGCGATGGTGCGGCCGAGGGGCCTGCATAAGAGCTCCACGTCGTCAAATAAAGACGACGGGGCGATGGTGCGGCCGAGGGGCCTGCATAAGAGCTCCACGTCGTCAAATAAAGACGACGGGGCGATGGTGCGGCCGAGGGGCCTGCATAAGAGCCCCACATCATCAAATAAAGATGATGGGGTGATGTATGGCTCAGAGGCCTGCATAAGAGCTCCACGTCGTCAAATAAAGACGACGGGGCGATGGTGCGGCCGAGGGGCCTGCATAAGAGCTCCACGTCGTCAAATAAAGACGACGGGGCGATGGATGGCCGAGAGGCCTACATGAGAGCCCCACATCATCAAATAAAGATGACGGGGTGATGTATGGCCGATGGGCTTGTAAATGAGCTTCGCGTCATCAAATAAAGATGACGAGGCGATATATGCCCGATGGGCCTGCAACTGAGCTTCGCGTCATCAAATAAAGATGACGCAGCAAGATGTGGCTCAGAGGCCTACAAATGAGTTCCTCGTCATCAAATAAAGATGACAGAACGATATATGGCCGATGGTCCTGTAGATGAGTTCTTCGTCATTAAATAAAGATGACAGAGCGATATATGGCCGATGGGCCTACAAATGAGCTCTTCATCATCAAATAAAGATGACAGAGCGATATATGGCTGATGGGCCTGCAAATGAGCTTCGCGTCATCAAATAAAGATGAAGGAGCGATATATGGCTGAACTCTGGGCTCCTTTAGCCTTTCGGCCGGAGACCGCAAGATGTTCGTTGTATCTGAATAGGGGGACGAGGCGGTGGACACCTGTCTGAATATGAGGACGACGACGCTGATGAGTCGGTCCGAAAATGAGGACGACAACGCTGACGAACCGGTCCGAATATGGGGACGATGGCGCTGGTGAGCCGGTCCGAATATGGGGACGAGGCGATGATAAGCCATGCGTCGTATGAAGGCGACGGTCACCATCCAGGAAGGGAATGGCGAGCCTGGTCGCTATATAAGGACTTCGGCGCTGGGGCCGGTCTAAATGTGAGGACGAGGCGATGATGAGCCGTGCGTCATATAGGGGCGACGGTCGCCGTCCGGGAAGGGGTGGCGAGCCCAATCGCTATAACAAGACTTAGGCGCTGGGAGCCGGTTTTGAGATAAATAATCACGTCGCAGCCGAGAGGCTGATCGCGATGTGCGGATGACAATGATGAGGAGCCAGTCCGAAATATGATGACGAGGCGATGATGTTGGGCCGCGGGTATGCAAGGCCAGCAACAGCCAGCCTGCCGGTGCAATCGGACCGCGTGGCGCTTCGCTTGTGCTATAAAGGGGGAGGAGCGTGCTTCACTATCAGCAATTGCTTTTAGTGTAGTGGTAAGCGCAACGATCCACAAGTGGTATCAGAGCCAAGGTCACGGGTTCGACCCCCGGCAACAGCATGCTGCGCAGTTGTAGGCTGGCAGGTGCTGGGGGGAGATTGTTGGGCCGCGGGTATGCGGTGCCAGCAACAGCCAGCCTGCCGGTGCAATCGGACCGCGTGGCGCTTCGCTTGTGCTATAAAGGGGGAGGAGCGTGCTTCACTATCAACAATTGCTTTTAGTGTAGCGGTAAGCGCAACGATCCACAGATGATGGAGCCGATCGTCATATACAGGCGATAGTCACCATCCAGGAGGGGATGGCGAGCCTGATCGCTAGCCCAACACACTCGGCGCTGATGAAGCCGGTGTTGGGATAGGGTGTGACGTCGTGGCCGAGGGGCCGATCGTGATGCGAGGTCGTCAGCACTACGAGGCTGATCCAAAAGTCCAAGCAGCGGTCGCCATCCGATGAAGGAATGACTGAGACCGGTCTTGGGGATAGACAATCACGCCGAGGCCGAGGGGCCGACCGTGATGTGCGGACGGAGATGATGAGCCGATCCGATAATATGATGACGAGGCAAGGATGAAGCTAATCGTCATATAAGGGCGATGGTCACCATCCAGGAAGGGATGGCGAGCCCGATCGCTAGCTCAAGACTCTCGGCACTGAGGAAGCCGGTCTTGAGATAGATAGTCACGCCGAGGCCGAGGGGTCAGTCGTGATGCGCGGATGGCGATGAAAAGAGCCAATCCGAAATATGATGATGGGGCAATGATGAGCCGGCCGTCATATAGAGGCGATGGTCACCATCCAGGAAGGGATGGTGAGCCCAGTCGCTAGCTCAAGATCGCGTTGAGACCGAGGGGTCTGCCGCGATGTGAGCATGACGGCGATGATGAGCCGTTCCAATAAATGATGACGAGGCCATGATGGGCCAATCGTCATATAAAGGCAACGGTCACCATCCAGGAAGGGATGGTGAGCCCGATCGCCAACTCAAGACTCTCGGCGCTGAGGAAGCCGGTCTTGAGATAGATAATCACGCCGAGGCCGAGGGGCCGGCCGTGATGTGAGGACAACGGCGATGAGGAGCCGGTCCTATAATATGATGACGAGGCGGTGATGAAGCCGATCGTCATATAAAGGCGATGGTCACCATCCGGGAAGGGATGGCGAGCCCGATCGCTAGCTCAAGACTCGCGGCGCTGAGGAAGCCGGTCTTGAGATAAATAATCACGCTGAGGCCGAGGGGGTCGGTCGTGATATGAGGACAACGGCGATGAGGAGCCGGTCCTATAATATGATGACGAGGCGATGGTGAAGCCGATCGTCATATAAAGGCGATGGTCACCATCCGGGAAGGGATGGCGAGCCCGATCGCTAGCTCAAGACTCGCGGCGCTGAGGAAGCCGGTCTTGAGATAAATAATCACGCCGAGGCCGAGGGGGTCGGTCGTGATATGAGGACAACGGCGATGAGGAGCCGGTCCTATAATATGATGACGAGGCGATGGTGAAGCCGATCGTCATATAGAGGCGATGGTCACCATCCGGGAAGGGATGGCGAGCCCGATCGCTGGCTCAAGACTCGCGGCGCTGAGGAAACCGGTCTTGAGATAGATCACGCCGAGGCCGAGGGGCCGGTCGTGATACGAGGACAACGGCGATGAGGAGCCGGTCCTATAATATGATGACGAGGCGCTGATGAAGCCGATCGTCATATAAAGGCGATGGTCACCATCCGGGAAGGGATGGCGAGCCCGATCGCTGGCTCAAGACTCGCGGCGCTGAGGAAGCCGGACTTGAGATAGATGATCACGCCGAGGCCGAGGGGCCGGTCGTGATGTGAGGACAACGGCGATGAGGAGCCGGTCCTATAATATGATGATGAGGCGCTGATGAAGCCGATCATCATATAAAGGCGATGGTCACCATCCGGGAAGGGATGGCGAGCCCGATCGCTGGCTCAAGACTCGCGGCGCTGAGGAAGCCGGTCTTGAGATAGATCACGCCGAGGCCGAGGGGCCGGTCGTGATACGAGGACAACGGCGATGAGGAGCCGGTCCTATAAT